GGCTTGCCTTCAGAGGCTCTGCCTCTGGCTCCTCCTCTGATGGTGGAACAATTTAAAATATAGATAAAACAACATATAAAACCAAACATCATAACAATACTACATAGTCAGCAGCAGCATCAAAGGGAGAGAGTTCTCTGACTCTTTGGGCCAGGATAGTTATAAAGCAGGGGTAGGCAACCTAAGGGCCGAGGGCCAGATGTGGCCCCCGAGGCCTTTGCACCGGCCCCAGGCTGGTCCTACCGCCACCTCCACCGCCTCCACCCCCTCCACACGCCATGATGATATTGATTATTGTTGTTATTACTTGTTCTTCGGGTTTTCTTAGCAAAACCTCCACAGGGGTTTTGCCATGGCTTTTCTGGGGCTGAGAGAGTGTGCATGCATATTTTTAAAAAAATTTAATTTTTTTAAAAAATTTTTAATATTTATTTATTTATTTATTTATTTATTTATTTATTTTTGGTGCTTTGGCCCCCCAACTATCTGAGGGACAGCAACTCGGCCCCCAGCTCAACAAAGTTGCCTACCCCTGTTATAAAGGAAAGGCCTGCCGGAAGAGATCCATCTTAATAGCCTTCTTAAAGCTGTCTAAGGTGGAAATAAGACTGATCTTGTCTGGCAGGCTGTTCCATAATCTGGAATGGGAGCAGAAAAGGCCTTCAGGGAGGTCAGGCTGTAATAATTTCCTCCAGAGGACTGGAGCACGCAGGGTGGATCATACGGAAGGAGGTGGTCCCAGAGATAGGTTGGACCCAAGCCATGTAGGGCTTTAAAGGTCATAACCAACACCTTGTACTGTGCCCAGAAACTAATGGGCAGCCAGTGGAGATATTTTAGCACAGGAGTAATATGTTCTCTTCAGGAAATTCCAGAAACCAACCTGTCTGCCATGTTCTGAACTCCTTGAAGTTTCCGAGTCAAGCACAAGGGTAGCCCCATGTAGACCACATTACAGAATTCAAGACGTGAGGTTATCAGTGCGTGTACCACAATTTCAAGATCCTTAGTTTCCAGGAGAGGGCACAGCTGGCTTATCAGCTGAAGCTGATAACAGGAAGATAAGCGCCATTGCCTACCCCACCAGGGGTGGAGGGCCTATTGAAATGGTCTGCTCTCGGAGGCTATTAGAGCCAACTGGATTCCAGAAAGCCTTGGAGGGCTCCTTTTTTGGTAAAGTCAAAGACCCTGTTGAAGCCCTGGTGGATACTTGGCACACCAATCTTACCAGAGCTATCAACACGATCACTCCCAAGCATCCTTTCCAACCTGCTCCTAATCACCATCCCTGGTTCACAGAGGAACTCAGGAAAATGAAGCAGGTT